GTTTTTGTTTTGATGATAGTCTTTTAGTAGTCAGGCCTACTCATAACCTAGTCCTGACTCACTGAGCAGGTGTGCCATGGGCTCCTACTCTGCTGTGGATGAGCGGAGAGAAATGGAGAGAGAGAAACCATGTCTCAAAACCCCACTGAGTTATTTTCTGCTTCTGTGATTGTACAGAAAATGACACCACGGCATGATTTCCATGTTGCCTGCCTTTGTGGACCCGAATGCACTAAGCTGACATGCTGCCTCCCTGGAGGTTCGGATGGCCCGAAAATGGTCTCTAACTGGAAGGAGCTGGAGGAAAGTGGAAAGGAGGCCCATCCCCCTGTCCCTAACTCGCTGTAGAGACTCATGTCATCAGAATTGTCCTTAGCCATCGAAGTGACTAAACCCACAGCCCTTTTTCCTCCTCACCCTTCCATTTTTCTTCTTTTTTGAATGGCACTGCCATGGCCCTCCTAAGGTGGTCAGTCCATCTGCAAAGAAGTCAGGAACTGCCAAGGTCAGAGCTTCCCTTCTCCAACTAAAGATTAATTGAATTCTGTGACCTAGGGCTGACCCGCAGCAAAATTACAGAGCTGGTGAAATTTGCCTTGGAGATTCCTGGCCTCCCTCCCTGCTTTATTTTCTTCTTCTTTCTTAAAAGGCTGTGTACATATTAACCACTTCCTCTCTCGTCCAAATCTTGATCTGATTGATTAAACCCTGGAACATGTTTGATTTTGTTGCCACCCATCTGGGGCAGATGGTACTGTCCCCATTTTGCAAATGTAGAAACTGAGGCTCAGAAGGTTAAGATTAAGTCCAGCTCTTCTGATTTCAACATCATGCTTTTTCTACTTACTGGAGCCCTCCTACCCTTTCCTGGGTTTTCCTGGATCAGATTGCTCCATCACAAACGAAGCCTTCACTTACGCAATCTGGTTTCTGGGTCAGCTTGCTCAGATAGTCAGCTCTTGAGATAATGTGGACTTCTGGATTCATTTCCTGAGGTTGCCACAACAAAACAGACAGGTGCCTTAAAACCACAGAATCAATTCCCTCACAGTTCTAGAAGCATCACAGTGTTGGCAAAGCCACGTTCTCTCTAAAGGCCCAGAACAGATCCTTTCTTGTCATACTCTGTGACCACTCATGGCACTCGCCAGCTCTGTCCACCCATGGCATTCTCTCTCCCTGTGTGTGTCTGTATCTCTGCTTTCTGGGCTTTTTTATTAGGTGTGTTTTACAGTGCTGGGGATCGAACCCAGGGCCTTACATCTACAAGGCTCTGCTTTCTGTCTTGACAGCGACACCATTCATCGGATTAGGGCCTATCCTAACCCAGTATAACCTCATCTGAGCTAAGTCCATCTACAAAACTGCTCTTTCCAGAGAAGATCACATGCTGAGGTTCTGTGTGGACATGGATTTGGGGGGACACTGTACATCCCAGTATGGCCCTATTAAAGAACTTTTCTAGTCTCTATGAGCAACTAGGAGTCCCCTTAACTGCACAGGGAGGGACTTTTCTGCTTACTGCCAAGTTTCCTTGTAGAGATTGTGAGCAACTTCATTCTCTCCACAAATACTTCCTGAGCATCTATGCGGCTGGCCCTCTCTTTTGCACACACCGGAGGTCAGGCTGTGGAAAGGCAAACCCTCCACTTTGTGTGCTATAGGATAGGAAGAACATCTATGCCAGCGTGGTGCAAAAAGCATTTCTTGGCACATTCATGGTGTCACTCATGCCTGGAGAGCTGGGCTCCTGGCTCTGCTTCGGTCTCACCTCCACCTCCTGCAGAAGAACTTCCCCTGGATGGCCATTTAGTCATTCCCTCCCTCTTTCCTCAGGACACAGGGGATTGCTGAGACCAGCACAGCCTTACAGATGTTGGGAGCCACTTATGGGGTGAGAAAATAAGCAAGGAAGTGCTCTGACAATCATTCTCCATATTCATGGGTTGGTAAATCTGACAAAGCCTCAGTTAATAAAACAGATTGGGGCCAGGCAATGTGGTACATGCTGTAATCCCAGCTACACAGGAAGGGTAGGTAGGAGGATATTGGTTTGAGGACAGTCAGGGAAAAGTTAGTGAAACCCTATCTGAAAGACAAACTAAAAGCAAAAGGACTAGAGGCATAGCTGAAGTGGTAGAGCTCTTGCCTAGCAAGCATGAGGCCATAAATTCAATTCCCAGTACCACAAAAAAAAAGGTAAGACAGATTATAATAATACTTTGCCCCGGGCTGTCGATATCATTAAATAATAAAAGGCACTGTGACCCACACCTGCCATATAACGAGCACTAACAATCGATGTTAGGTTTTGTTAGCATCCTGGTAGCTATTGTGCATGAACTAGAAAATTCTGCGGCTTGCCTTCTGCATTTCTTGGCATGATCATGGTGCCACTCACACTTGAAGAGCTGAAGAAGAATGTCGCTAGGGTGTTGTATTGAGTGGATGCTTGGGGCCACAGCACATTGGGCATTTGTGGCACAATCTAATCTTCCCAAGCACTGAGGAAGAACATTCTGGACAAATGAAATGTGGCCAAGCCCCCAGAATCCACTGATCTAGCCATCTTTCTGTAGACCAGGCTGCCAGACCTGGGGGAGGAAGCAGAGGAAGAACAGTTGAGTGGAGGTCTTCCCACATGGGCTATTCCCTAGCTCAGACAAGGAGCAAAGACAGAGACCCAGGGCCCACATTTGGGCCGTGATTCTGAAACCGGATCTCAGAATGCAGACGAGATTAGTGCTCTGCCCTTACGGTGAGGATGAGCTCATTGACTGGTGGTACTTGACCTGTGAATAAGTAAAGGTCAACAATTTGCCAGTTATTCTCAATTTGGAAACTTCCAGGCCAACTGGTTTTGCCAAGTGGAAACATAATATACCCAGGCTGGGTATCCCTTATCCGAAATGCTCGGGAACACAAGTGTTTCTGATTTCAGACATTTTTGGATTTTGGAATAGCTGTGTATCCACTGTGAGATATCTTAGGGGCAGATCCAAATCTAAACACACAATTCATTTGTCTTTCATGCGCACCTCATACCCACAACCTACAGGTAATTTTAAACAGACTTCTCATTCCCAAAACTTCGATCGTGACCTGTCACATTAGGTCAGGTGTGGAATTTTCCACGTGTGGCATGATGTCTGTGCATAGCTCAAGTGCTTGCTTAGCGAGTGTGAGGCCCTGGGTTCAATCCCCAGCACTGCAAAAACTAAACAAATGAATCAAATCCAGATTTTGGATTTCAGATATTCAGGTTAGAGACACTCGACCTATACATGGCACCTTGCTCTTCTGTTCCCTGGCTGGCAGCGTCAGCGTCACCTCTCAGCTACCCTTCTCTCTGTTCTATGAAGCACAAACCATGTAGTACTTAGTGATTTAAAACTGCAAAGATGTATTGTCGGCTCCAATCCTAGCAACTGGGCCGGTTCCACCTGGGACCATTTGCACAACGGCCATCACAGGGTGACCAACAGTTGGTGTGGGCCATCGGTGGGAGTGTCTCAGTCCTCCTTGTCCTCCAAGAGGCTGGACGGGGCTTCCTCAGCATGGCTGTCTCAGGGCAGCGTTCCATGGGAGGAAAGAGCAGGGACCCTGGCGCTTCCTAAGAGACTCTTCAACTTGCCAACCCTTTCTCTACCTTCCACTAGTGGGAGCTGGGCACAGCCAGTCCACATTCAAGGGGCTGGAGAAATAGACTCGACTGCCTGAGGTCAAATTGCAAAGCAGGTGCACATCCGGAGGGGACTAGCAAGTTCCTCAGGATTCCACCAGCTTGCTGAGAGAATCACCAAGTTGCCCTCCAAGACTTCTAGTGCCAGCCTTCGGCTGTGGTTTGCTTCCTTCCCCTGGGTGTGAGATATCCAGAGGGGTCAGTCCCCAGGGAAGATGGGACCTATTCATTTAAGGCATCCATGAACAGGCCTCATCCAGGATGGCTCCTTAGTCGTGCTGCTTGTGGCTGCCTTGATCACCACCTCTATCATCACCATCATTATCATCCTGGTGGCCAAGAGACTTGGTGTCCAGGTGGCTGGGGGGATTTCACTGACTATTCTGCATTTTCAGGACTCCAGGCCACCCTAATTCTGCCTGAGGAGGCAGCGGCCCTGGGGCTTTGTGAGGCAGCTGAGAAAGTGAGCATCAAATAGACTGGGGGTCATGCCATGAGGATGCTCCATGCTGCACGTGCTTGGAGGAGGAAATAGTTCTCCCGCCATGTGGCAGGAGTGTGGCAGGCCTTGAAGGACTGTCAGGTTTGTAGCCACAGAGTTGGAAAGGGGATAACCCCAGCTGGGCCTAGCCCCAAAGAATGCCTGGGAAAAAGGAAAGGGAAACATGGCTGGTTGGTTTCTTGGGAGCACCCTTCTGTTCTGAAGGAGGAGGAACAGGAACAAGGCTGGAAAAGCAGCTGGTGCGGAACTACGGATGTTGAAAGATGAGTGTTTGAATAGGGTCTCTGTCCTTGGGGCAGGGAGGAAACCAGAACATCATGTCACCTGCAGCCCTAGAAAAGCCTTTGTATGGCTCTGGCACTGGCACTCCTGGCTTCTGTATAACTTTAATCATAATTAACAGTTATAAGAGAAGGGCCACACTGCACATGCTGGAGAGGTAAATGACAGAATGTCACTAAGCCAACCATAGGGTGTCATATTCCATAATGACCTCTGAGTAGCTGGATGTTAGAGACCAGGATGGTGGCAGAGAGGCCTCTGCTTTCCTGTACCAGGAGGAGGAAGAGGACTGTTCAGATGGGAGACCTTGGCTGTTAGCACTAGGAGTCCACACATCTCCCCAGGCAGTTCCCTTGGGCTGCCCTGGCACCTGCAAGGCTCCCAGCTGTCCAGGTTGTGCCCTCCGGTGAAGCAGCACGCCTGGTCCTTGTGAGACCCAGATACAGGTTCAAACGGATCCACAATCCACTATGGCCACATGGCAATGTCTAGGCAAACACTGAGTTCTCATTCCCTCTTGTGTCCCCTCTGCAGCTGGAGCTCTCAAACACCGCGGTCCTGCACCAGATGAGGCGGGACCAGGTGACAGACACGTGCAGAGCCAACAGCGCCACCAGCCGAAAGCGACGGGTGCTGACCCCCAATGACCTGAAGCACTTGGTGGTGGACGAGGACCACGAGCTCATCTACTGCTACGTGCCCAAGGTGGCTTGCACCAACTGGAAGCGTCTCATGATGGTCCTGACCGGCCGGGGCAAGTACAGTGACCCCATGGAGATCCCAGCCAACGAGGCCCACGTGTCCACCAACCTGAAGACCTTGAACCAGTACAGCATCCCAGAGATCAACCACCGCTTGAAAAGCTACATGAAGTTCCTGTTTGTCCGCGAGCCCTTCGAGCGCCTGGTGTCTGCCTACCGCAACAAGTTCACCCAGAAGTACAACACCTCCTTCCACAAGCGCTATGGCACCAAGATCATCAAGCGTCAGCGCAAGAATGCCACCCAGGAGGCCCTGCGCAAGGGCGACGACGTCAAGTTCGAGGAGTTCGTGGCCTATCTCATCGACCCTCACACCCAGCGGGAGGAGCCCTTCAACGAGCACTGGCAAACCGTCTACTCGCTCTGCCACCCGTGCCACATCCGTTATGACCTCGTGGGCAAGTACGAGACTCTGGAAGAGGACTCCAATTATGTCCTGCAGTTGGCCGGCGTGAGCAGCTACCTGAAGTTCCCCACCTACGCCAAGTCTACGAGAACTACCGATGAAATGACCACGGAGTTCTTCCAGAACATCAGCTCGGAGCACCAAACGCAGCTGTACGAAGTCTACAAACTCGACTTTTTAATGTTCAATTACTCAGTGCCAAGCTACCTGAAATTGGAATAAAGGGGAGGGGGTGGGGAGGGGGAAGAGGGAGAGAGTCGTGCTTTTTAATTTAAGATTTTTATTTGTCAAAAGAAGTCTATGGATATTGGGTTATTTTGTAAATTAATATTTCTTCGGGGAAGACGCTGCGAGCAGCACGGTGAGGATTATTTAAAACTCTTTTTGTCGGGAAGGACAGCTGTCTTTGCAGGGGAATAGGATGGGTCGTCCTTGTTTTGACAAGTGAATGCTACAACACTGTCTCAAAGATTTCCTTGTGTTCTGGTGAATTCCAAGAACTGTGCATTCCATAAGTTCTAATTAATATTATTTATAGTTATTTAAACATGGTCTCTGTTACAGATTTCTCATTGTGGCAGCAGAGTGCCCATGTCTTTTTCAGAAGAAATCTATAGTTTGTGCTTTGCTTGCTACAGCTCATTTGGGGACGTGATGTTCTCCTGAGTCACCTCTCATGGAGCTGTACAGTGACAACCCTTGTGACGTATACAGATGCCACCATTCAGGAAATTCTGCTACAAAAAAAATAGGTTACTATTGCCCTTAGGAAGAGGAATCTTCAGGGCTGGGCATGATGGTATATACCTGTAATCCCACCTACTTGGGAGGCAAAGGCAGGATGATCAAGGCCAGCCTAGGCAAAGTTAGTGTGAGACCCTACTCGAAAAACAAACTGAAAGGCAAAGGACTGGGGACTTGACTGAAGTGGCAGAATGCTAACCTAGCATGAAGCCCTGAGTTCAATTCCCAACACTGCAAAGAGAGGGGGTGTCAGGGGAAAGAGGCATCTTCACAAGGGACTAGTTCCAAACCAGTTTCAACCCAAAATTCCCTTGCACTAAAGAAATGTGATTTTTTTTTTCTTTCGTAACCGAAGGATTGTAGCAGGTTTTTCACCAGAATTAGCAGTTTAATAGGATAGGCTTTTTTTATGGAAAATTTTAACTGGCAGGGCCAGTTGTGGTGAAGGCCAGGTGGCTGTTGCTTTTAGTCACAAGTATTTATTGAGCAGCTGTTATACTCCAGGCCCAAGTGCAGATAGGCATTGAGAAAACCCAGTAGTCTTGGCCCTCAAGAAGCTTTAGATGGACATAGCGTCCTGCAGGACAGTGGACGAACCCTGACCTTTCTAGTTTTCACATGATCTTTGGGTATTCGTGAGCAATCCTAGAAGGCCCATGACCTCTACAAGTTGGCTTTCTTTCTATGGCCCAAATTTGAAAACCACGCACTTGGATCAGGCCCCTTGGTGAATGATCCAAGGTCATTGCCAATACAAGAAAAGGCAAAAATACTTCTTACTGTGTGCCTGCTGCAGCTTATTGCTTAGTGGCTGCCTTAAGGCCCCAGAACTGGTTCTCCAGGTACAGTGAGGAAGTGCTGTGATTGATTTGTGATGTCTGTCTTGGATGCAGGAAGGGAAAAGTTTGTTTGTCAAGTGCCTCCTACTGTCATCTCCGTCCAACAGCCACATCCCCAGACGTGTCTTCTGAATGTCACATGAAAGAGTGAAATGCATACATTTGGGGTCTGGTGTTTGCCCTTCATGAAGGTCAAGAGTGGGCTATTCTGTACACATACGCACGTGCACACCCTCCCACACCCTCCAGAGGTTGACACCACAGGCACCTTCGTGGCTGCCTTGCACGAGCAATGAGGACAGCCTCTTGTGACCGCCAGCCTTACAGCCTGTCCTCCGGAGCCACTTCCAGTTCCTTGCTAATTCACATCCAAACCACGTCTCATTTCCAGCCATTTCTGACACGTCTGAAGTTTGAGCCACATCGTCTTACAGCCAGGGAATGAGTTGGTAGCAGATACTGTATATATTAATAATAATAGTCTAATAATGGGGGTAGGGTGCGAGTGTTGCTTTCTGTTTTGTGTCTGACTCATGTAATGAAGGGTGAGAAAATTCTGAACGAATGAAAGAATGAGTAATTTATTCACAGAAAACTATTAAAATCTTCTTGTAAGGCTCACAGTAACCTCGGTGAGGAGCAAAATATCAAGGAGGAAATGGTTTTATTTACTGCGCGTGAGATGTGCGCCACAGAGGCAGGCTGAAGCTCTTTATAAAACGTGGGTGCCTTCTTCCCAGCTCTCTCCTCTTTGTGACGGTCACAGCCTCCGTGCCATTGATGGACAGAGATTTACGCAATGTGACGGAGTTAGAGTGACAGGACCTGGAACTGAGTGTCTGGGGGCGCTGTCCTCAAAAATCAGCTTCTGCTAAGGAAACAGGCTGCGTAGCATTGCTCAGAGATGCCCCCCGGCATGGGGGTTCTCGGGACAAGTGAAGGGCTTTGCGATCACGTATCCTTGCAAAACAAAATTGTTTCCTTTCTGCAGTACTTCTCAGAGCCTTGAACGTGTGCATTATTGGGATAGCAGTGTGTCCTGGACTTCAATGAGCAGGACCCTTGGTTCTGCAGACCATCTCACGGAGCTAGTGTCCCACAGGTGAATTGGCTAGGCTCATTTAGCACTTGTGAGGTCTGCAAGGGTCAGAACTGTCTCCCCAGCGCCCCCTCCCCCGCATCAAAAAAAAATGAACAGGCAAAACCAAAGTTGTACCACAGTCTCCATCTGGTTTATAGCAGCAGAGGCACTTAGTGAAATGAATTAAACTTTTACTTAAGTGCAATGGTTCTAATCCCGATCCTACTATGGACAGCGATTCCATCCCCAATGGAGTGGTGAAGGGAAGTCTCGGGGGTCATAGCTGGAGGGAAGGGGTGGTGCATGGGCCACAGAATGGTCCCGCTCCCCGGCCTTAAAGGTTGCTCCGTGGGAGCCCATCATCTCACAGTGAGCCCTTCTCCATTTCCACAGCTTGGAACTGTTCATTGTGTGCTTTTCTGGTTTTGAAATGGAAATTCATGCCGAATTCTGTGTTTTGCGTTCTGTGTCTGACTTCCAGCCATGGCGCAGACTTGCTGTGTGCTGTGTGCAAGCGGCCTCTCGTTGACTTCTCTCTCTTAAGTGAGAAAGAGTGTCCTTCAGGGGATGAGGCAGTTACCTGTTTCTGAAATGAGGGAGTCTTTCTCCTCATGTTCTGTTTGTGTTTGCATTTTATTCTGTAATGACATAAGATTTTTTAAAAGTTGATTCAACCATTTTTGCAGAATGTAGAACGTATTCTGTCCTTGACAAAAGAAATCTATGATGAAGTGTGCCTGGAAAACGAGAAGGCAGTGTTTTTTAAGAAAAACGTTTGCAAACACATTCTCCTGCATGCTTAGCTGGAGAAGGCACTGGCAGGTATCTCAGCTCCAAGCCACTTCCGAAGGTGCTGCTGTCTCTAGAACCAGGTACAGTCAAGGTACAGGACATTCCTGCTTCTGCTCCCCATCCCGCTGGTAAAGTCTAGATATCAGCCACAGGACTCCTTCCTGTAGCTTCTCTGGACCCCCTGCCCACCCTCCCCAGCTGGTCTGGGACGAAGGGTGGCCTGTGGACCCAGCCTGTCTCAGACGGGCGCTTCCTCAGATGGGCCTGTCCACAAGAGAGCAGTGGGTACGAGAAACTTGAATGAGACTCTTCCTCCTGGGAGCAGAGGCAGGGAGCACAGGGTCTAATCCATGCCCCTGGAAAACTCCAGAACAAAGTATGTGAGCCCCTTAGCATACTTAGCTGGAGGGGTCTGGACCAGGGCTGAGCAGGATTGCAGAAGTCTCTATTCTAATCTGGCAAAAGGCAGAGGGATTCTGCTTGCTTTCCCAATCAGCCCTTTGCTTCCTCCACCCAGTTCCACCCTACACACATGCACACACACATACCCCCTAAACTGCTCAACTTGAGCACCCTGGCGACTTCTGTCCTCTCCCACCTCTTTGTCAGCAGGACTGACCACATTGCTCCCCCAAGTTCCTACCACCAGCATCACCCCAGCCTTTGCCCCTTAATGGACCCTATTACCAGGCAACAGAACCTTCTAGAACCAGCTGGACCATTAACAGGCGCATTTCATTCGGTACAGAAGGGGCTGCCCGTATCTTCTTACGAGCATGCTCCATGTGGCATATGGACAGCTAATTTAACATCTTTGTGGAATGTGATTTTTTTTACATATTTGTATGCAGTAGAGAGCCTGTTGTAGAAAATCCCCCTGTATCTTACTATACTGTTTAAGAAAGCTGAATTCCACATTGCCAACAAAAGTGTGAAGTGTTCATGAACCTTCCTCCAGGAAAAGCCATTCAAGCCTGATTATTTTTCTAAGTAACTTCAATTAAATTGAAGGAAAAAAGAAGCTTCTTTGTGCATGGTTTGTGTGTGGCTCATTAATAAAAGACCGTAAGGGTGGGTCGGGCCATCAGCATGTGGGGGGCCCTGCTCACGTGCATCAAAGGATGGAGATGTGGACTCCGTTGGCCGACTTAGCCATGGTAGAGACCACCAGACACCCAGATCGTCCTTGTTTGTTGGATGAATGGGAGCTTTTCTTCATTCTACTTTTTTCTGTGGAGTCTTTGTAGAGGGATGCATTAGGCGGCCACTGCACTGACGTAGTCCTGCCACTCATGTAAAATGTAAGTCCAGGGAAGCTGGCACAGTGGCTCAAGCCTCCAATCCTAGCTACTTGGGAGGCAGAGACTGGGAAGATTGTGGTTCAAGGCCAGCCCTGGCAAAAAGTTTACGAGACTGCATCTCAACCAATAGCTTGCAGGGGGGTACACACCTGTCATCTCAGCTACACAGGGAAGCACAAATAAGAGGACTGTAGTCCAGGCCAGCCCAGGGAATATAATGAGACCCTGTCTCAAAAATAATCAACACAAAAGAGGGCTAGCAGAACGGTTCAAGTGGTAGTCCACTTGCCTCACAAGTGCAAGGTCCCAAGTTCAACCCCACTACCAGCAAAAAATAAAATAATAAGGCAGTGGAGACACCCCCCCACACATACACACCAGGGGTTAAATGTGTGGTAGAGCCAGTATTCAAATTTAGGCTGATAGGCCTTGAAAGCCCATGCTTTGGGCACTCAATGACACAACTCTTAAGTGACTACCCCACAGTCCTACCACTAGGAAGCAGCAGACCCACACTTCAAGCCCCAGTGAGTCAGCTCCTTTCTGATGCCTCAGATAGCTTCTTTGAGCTCCAAAGCTGGGCACCTTCATCTGTTTTCTTTTGCTGCAACAAAATACCTGAGATGGGTACTTAATAAAGAAGTTTATTTGGCTCATGAGTGGTAACTGGAAGGGCCAAATAGCACAGCACTGGTGTCCTAGTGAGGGTTCCCTGGGCTGCACCACCACATGGCAGAGAAACAGACAAGGAACCAGCCACATGCAGAAGGGATAATACGGTGAGACAGGAAACACAGGTGACTTGGGGACCAGGCTCACTCATAACCATAGGCTCTCATGGGAACTAACCATTATCCCTCAAGAACTATATGACTCCTTCCAAGGGCATGCCCCCAAGAACCTAACCACCTTCCACTAGTCCCACTTCTAAAAGGTCCCACCTTCTTAGTATCACCACACTGGGAGACAAACTTCCAGCTCATGAACCTTGGGGACACAAACAATATGCAATAGCAGACATCCTTTAGCCTGGTTGCAGAAAATAACTCACTGATGTTTTTCCAAAGAAGAAATCACAAAGTTGTTTGTATTCTAATCTGTTAAATCGCATTGTCTCAGGGTTTGAAAATACTGGATGAGAAAGTCTATCTCATGTTTCAGCCATGCCAGATATGGTTTCTCATACGTCCCCTCACCCACTGGATTTCGCCACCTGGCTCCCACTCATTCCTGGTGTCATTCTTGCCTTGCTTTGCATTCCTTTGGTTGAGATATGTCCAGACCACAGGATTTAGTCATCTTAAGTCGGTAGCAAACTTCCTTTTTAGCAGATGACTGGATATAACTTTGTCATACTCTGGCCCTGTCCCATCTGGGACATTGTGTCAGTGGAAAGCAAAGCTGGACAAGAACCTCGCTAGCCTTCATTTGATGCCCTTGGAATGACACTGAAATGGCCCCTTGTCCATGGCTAGCTAGTCGGTAGATATTTCTCTCATCCAAGAACTAACCAGGCCGGACCCTGTTTAGTTTCCATGGTCAGACATTCCGGATGGTATGGCTGTGCACATCAGCAGGGATTTCAGATGATGTCACAGGTGCCCTTTGTCTTACACCACAGGAAGTACAGAACCCAGGAATCTGTGCCCCAGCACAGTGCCCGGGCCAGGTCAAGGACAGATGATTGGCTATCAGCAAGTGCACAGGACAGGAAGAGGTCACACATTAGTGTAAGATGTCATAGAGGCCTATGGGAAGAGCTCTCTTCTCAAGTTGTGCTTTGCCACATTTTTGGTACCAGAATAAAGTTTTTTTTATGATAGTAGACATTAACCGATGCCAGGAAATAATTAAAAGGTTGCCAACTTTATGACAGGCCCCCAAGGTCATTTTAAACATTCTCTGAAAAACTCAAAATGGCCCAAAAGGCTAGGCACTGTTGGCCAAGAATGTGTGTGAGGCATGAAGTGGGGTGGGGAAGGGGACCCTCAGGGCTTGGTGGAGACAGAACTGGGAAAATCTCTGGAAGCACAGCTCTGAGCATCACTCACACTGCAGCCAGTGAGAAGGTGCAGGGGTTCTGGGTGACTGACTAGACGCTCAAGGTGGATCTGGTCTACACTCCACAGACAGTGCCAGACATCTTGGGCATCTCCATAGAACACAAAAAAGATGAACCTGCTTAGTCTGTAATCCCAGCTCAGGGAGGCAGGAGGATTGAGAGTTCAAGGCCAGCCTGGGCTACATAGTGAGACCTTGTCTCAACAACTAAAGACGAACATGAGAGAAAACCTACACTTTTCCCAATTTCACAATCTTCAGTGGAAGTGCCGATCCCAAAAACGTAGCTAACTGTCACTCTACACACTCCCCTTTCCTTTTCTCCTTTGAAATGGGAAAAAAATAATAAAGTCTGGACTATGCCCACAGTGGAGAGAACTCAGAACCTGGAGGTATCCAGCCTCGGGTCATCCACCACCTAGAGGTAACCACTTCTTGTCTGGGTCTCCACTTCATTTGTAAATTCCTTATATCTCTGGTTTTCCTTTTTTTTTTTTAACATAACCTCTTAAAAAACCTTTGTGTGCTCAACACTGTATATAAAAACAAATGAAACAGAGATGCTGTGATTATATACTTATGAGGCCCAGTCCCTATAAGTTCCTGTGGACCCCAAGGCCCCCAGGGTTCTAAGGAACACAGTTTCAAACCCTTAAATTAGACGAGCTCTGAGCCCTGCCACTTTGACATTCTGTAATGGTCTACCCACCTCACCCTGTGGTTCCTGCTACTTCATGCTGAAGAGACCGGTACACACTGACCTGGGAAGATTAAAAACTTCATCAAGAAGGGAGCAAAAGGGACACATTGGAATGAGATTTAGATGGAGGAAAAGAAATAAGAAAAAAAGAAAGAAAAAGCAGAGGCAGGAAAGAAATACACTCGGATTCAAGATGGAAACCTAAGTATGTACTCCTCCTTCCAAATGCTATTGCAAAGACATAGAAGGTTTCAAATTCCTACAAAACCCTTTTAATTTGAAATGCAAAAGACTGGAATAAAAAAACCTCTATATTAACCCGTTTTCTATTTTTCAGTTTTTTTTAAAGATAAAGCATCTTGTTATATGAGAATAGCAAGGCTTTGGATTTCACACTGGCTTGGCCAAGCCTGGTCCAGCCTGGGGCCTTTACCTCATAGGTCAACCCAAAACAACTGCATGCCTGGAACCACAATGGCCACAGGTTGGAGAAAAAAATGCCTAAAGGAAGAAGGACTATAGAAAGCTTGCCTTTCCACTGAGCTGTGCACAGAGCACTCGAACAACTGAAGGTGGCTCAGAGATGTCTGCTTTTTTACCATGTTCTTTTCCAAATTATGTATTTTCAAAGGAAGGTTGACCAGAAAGGTAGCTAACCCTTATGAACTATTATATAGTTTATTATGTGCCACACAGGCTTCCAAAGCAGTGTTCATACCAAACAACAAGGGATAGACATGTAGACATGGACCCTTCCCACAGAGAAGGAAACAGAAGATTGGAAGAGTTACACAACTTGTCCCAAGTCACTCATCTCATAAGTGGGAGAGCTAGGATTTAAAGCCAGGTCCAGGGCTGGGCAGTACAGCACTCGCCTAGCATGTGAGAGGCCCTGAGCTCAATCCCTAGTACCACCAAACTACGCCAAACCAAACCAAACAGCTATCTCCCTGGCCCACTGAAATCAGGTATCATGGTGGACCAAGACAGGAGAAGGCCAGAGGCCTAAATATGAGAGATAATGCTCCCACAAAGAAACAGGAGTAGAGATTCAAACCTAAGCCAAGGTGGCAAAGGCTTGTTGCCTATAACTGAAGGACCCTAAAACAGGATAAAATAGAAGAGCTAGAAGACAAAATCAGCAAAGTTCAAGCTAAAATAGTCACAGAAAACTAGATAGTCTATCCAAATAAATTAAGTTTCTGCCTGGGTGGCCCATTACAGTATCCTTAACTATGGCTAGATTGACGATCATCCAATTTCCACAAACTGTTTAGACAGGTTAGACTTCAAATAAAAACCAAATGGCAAACTGAAATTCCAACAGGAGTGGGGGTCTCTGAGACAGCCGGGAGACTGCTGAATGGAAGGGCTATGCCGTTAGCATCTCACACACTAGACAGGCAGAGCCAGCCTTACCCCACCAAGTCCTGAGGGCAGTGCTCAGGGTGAAGGCGCAGAGTTCAAGTCACTGCTCACACAGCAGAGTGCCATGTGGTAGACCCTGTGGGAGCAGCG